TCATTTTCAATTTTAGTGAAAATTGGGTTCCAGTCTCACCAGGTCCTCAATTTCTTCTATTGTTCTTCACAGGATCACTCTCTGCTCTTCCTTCCTCCTTTTGATCCAAGACACCTCAATGTATCTCATGCTGTGCATTGGCAACCTTGTCCAGTTTCTCTATTTTAGAACTGGTTACCAGTAACCCCAATCCCAGCCTTTTAAAATTTGTTTCCCTCTGACTTTCAATCACTGAAATGTCTTCATTTTAAGATCACAATTCTTTATATCAGAATAAGGTGAGAAATTTAAATACAACCAGAAGATGACATCTGAAGGACCAAACACCATCATTTTCTTCTTTGTGAAATTGGAATCATGATATGATTTTTAAACCAGATTTACAGAATCACTTTGCTGATCATTTCTCTCATCCAAATATTTGGGGGATGCTTCAGTGGCAAATACACCTAGTATTGTGTTGTCTTTATTCTTGTTCTGACAGTGTCAGGATACTCAGTTAAGAAGAGAGTTTAACCAATCAAAAAGAATTCTTTTGGTACAATTGACTTTTTAAATCCTTGAAGTCTTTGTTAATACTGTTTGCTTTTTTTCACTTTCCATTTTTTGCATCACAAAGTCCTATTTATTTATATATTTTTTCTTTTTTTCTGTACTGTGAATTGAACCCAGTATACTCATCCTCTAATCTATACTTCTGATCCATTTTTAAATTTTTATTTTGAGACAGGGTTTCACTAAGTCACTGAGGGAAGGCACTGAGGCTAGCCTCAAACTTGGAATCCTCATACCTTAGCCTCAGGAGTTGCTGGGATTATAGGCATGTGCCACCACATCTGGTTAAATTTGGCATTTTATAAGAGGATCAATATCACACCCCTAACTGCATCTGTCATCATCTCACAGTTGAAAAAGTGACAATAGCCTCCTAGCTAACCTCCCTGCCTCCATTCTTCCTGCATCTGCTCTCAGATGAATGCTCCAAAAATTTTCTCAGCCTTTTAAAAATATATACTCATATAGATTTCTGCTTTTACCAACTAAATGTACTTGCTATCAGCTAAATAGAATTTGCTTATTCTTCCCAGAATCTTCACATGTGCTATTTTCTGCACTTTGGAAATTCCTGTTCTTCACCACTGTCTCCTCTATTCCAAACTCATCTCTTGCCCAAGTCAACAGTGAATTTCCTCACTTCACTTGTCTTCTCTGGATGTTCAATATTAACTTTCCTACACTGGAATGTGTTTTATGATGAATATGATGTATAAATTATTTGAAAACAATGATTGCAATTAAAAAGTTCTACTATACTTTAGACACTGGCCAGTACACAATAGGCACTAACTAATAATTATAAATGTGATTGAGAAAACAGCAGTAAGTCTTTGGGGGAAAATACAGATAGGTGTAAGTGATTCCACAGTAAGTAAATGGAGCAATGGAAAAACATGTTTAAATTCAGTTGTAAAAAAAAAAAAGGCAACTTTGATATGAAAAGTTTGAACTGAATGATTTTTGTTTATCAAACTGTTCCATACATTTTTCAGAGAGCCTTAATGCTTAAAACTGTGACCTCCTATCAGACATCTTAAAACAAAAATGCATGAGTAATGGAGAAATTGGAGCCAGACAATTTTCAACATTAAATTCTCTCCCATAAAAGAGCATGACAATTGCAAGTGTTCAAACTTAACTGATCATGGTGGAACTATTTTCTTTCTTCAATTTTAGTCTGGTTTCATCAGTTCACTATCTCACCATGAAATATGAATATAAGGAGTAGAAAGATATATATGTGGAATAATTAGGGCATATCCTCTGGTCATCAATTTTCTGATTAGTTGTTTAAACAACTAATTTTTTAAAAATAAAATGCCCAAGACAGTAAACATTTTAAATCAGTGATTCTATAGTCTTATATGCACTTTAAATACCATGTGAGTGGAGAAGTCTCTTTCCCTTTCTTGCCAAAATATTCTTTCTCACACTTGCCATTTTCCCACCTGTTGCAAAAGTAATCCTTAGGATACAAATCATTTCCCTCTCCTTTTGAACTCTTTTATAAATTTCTCTTTCATAACTGAACTCTTGTTTTTACCTCAAATTGCCCCCTGCTTCCCCCTTTAAGCCCCACAATATTAACCATCCACCCTCAACCAAAATATCTACCTTTCAAACCATGCGGCCAGGTTGAAGCCTTACCAGAAGCCTGAAAGTTTCTCTGTGTTCATATTTTTGAATGAGTGTTTGAAAACAGAACAGATTTGGATCTAATTCAATTAAGGCTTAGAGGCAGTGAAGAAAGACATCTTTTCAGGGAACATCCAGATACATTTCAAAGTCTCCATGGTTAGATTGGAGCCCATACATTATCAAAACTGCCAGATTTCATATTTTGCAAAATTAAACCCATGTTTACATTGTCCATCTCCTTGAGCATTGTTTGTTCTCAGTGCAGTTTTCTTTTGCTATGTATTCATTGAGTTTATGCATTTCTCATTTGTGCCATCTTTTATGATGTTTTCAGGGTGTTTCACCTTAAAAAGTCAGTTTTTAAATGTATGTTTACACAATCACATAACAATAAATTCGTTATAATTGTCTTAGAACTAGTTGTACAAAGGGTCTTCATAGATTTCCAAAATCCATTTCAGTGAAATGCTGAAAAGAAAAATAAATTTCCTCACTGTGAAAGCAACTGGAAGAATACATTATGTTCTAGACTAAATACTTATTATACCCTTATAGGTTTTATCTTTCAAAGATCTCATATGAAAATTAAATTTTGAATTGCCATCTAGAAATAAATTTTTATAGATAGAGTACACATTAGTTCCTGAAAATGGTAGAAAAGGTTTCTTGTCAAGTTCCCCAGCACAAGTGTGAATGCTCTGTTTTTGAGTACCTACTAGTAGTGAAAGGATACATTGTGGCCAGCCAACTCAAATTGCTACCCACGTTTAATCATTGTAAATAAAGGAAGCAGAGAGACCCATGTTATATTTTCAGAACTGGCATGCTCAATACAGAACTATTAGTTTAAAAATACCACTGAACATTCTATTTGAATTAATCTAGATTTCTGTGAAAAATAAAATAGTAAAAAGTACAATTGGCCACTTAAACATGTACTACTCATTTCATGCAGATTATTAATTTGGTAATTACACATTGCATTAAAGAACAAATAGAGTAAATGCAACTTTGTAACATTGGAAAACAGTTCAGAATTGATAAATTTTCATTTTGAAATACATATAGTTTTTACAGAAGCAAAATCTCCTTTCTCAGTGGAGAAAAATACATCTATGAAACACCTACATGTGTTGAACTGGACTTTTCAAAGGAACAACTAAATATCCCACTGTGAAGTGAACATGTATAACTGCTAAGCTTTCACATACTGTTGGTGCATAATACATTTTCTGAACAGCTGGATATAGAAAGCAAGAAACAAACAAGTAGGTTAAATGAAACTCATGTATCACAGGGAATCAGTAATGGAAAGAGGTTGAGAGAAATCATCAAAGCATATTATCTAATGTTTTCTTATACATTGATGTTCACAATTACAAGGCCTAGGCAAATTCTTGATTTTTACATATTGTATACATTTGCCCTTTTTTATGTTTATCCAAGAGCTTGATTTATGAACCATTTGCAAAATGCCCCAATCAAACTCGATAAAGAATTAACCACCACAGGCATCTAGGTGGAGAGTACATCAAATTTGACTAATTGGAAAGCATACAAAGTAGTAATCCACAATAGATACTAAAACAGGGGCACATTACTTACAGCAAATATGGAATAGATTATTCACAGATATTTGGGGGTATGGTGCAGTCACAGTCACTGTATGAGTATGGACAAGTTTAGTCTGTCAAATATACTCTTAGAAGCACCGGGAATAGAGATACTTCTGCAGGAACCTTGCATACATGGCCAAGCAGATACAGTGTACATATAGAACAGTCTATTTCACAACCACTTGGCAGATGAGAATCTCTGCAATTGCTGCTCTACCATTAGTAAGCTCAAATCATTTAGCACTTCATCTGTGAATATTATTTATTTTCAATTGCTGACACTTGCAGTCAATACATATTTAAATTCAAACTCCAATGATGCTGAAAATCAAGTAAGAAAATGCCAACATCTTCATAAAGCTTATAGCAGGTCAAGAGAGCCTTTGGAAAAAAGTCTAAATGTAAATTTGTTAGAAAACAATAAAAGGTGTACTTCAAGATGTGTTTTCAAAGTTGAAAAACTTTTGAAATAAGCCAGAAAGCCGTAAGTGTTGTTCAAAATCATCCTAAAAACTCACACCCTGTCTATTCATTTGCTTAAGAAATGCACATTGTTTATCTACCTACCAGTTTGCCTACAGAAGATATGCTTGCCCAACAAAACTAAAAGCTGTTATTATAAGTTGTTGATTTAGTCTACAGAAGTTGTCCATGATGTTGGAAAAGTTTTACATGTTTCAATCATGTTGTTGTTTTTTTCTCAACTGATCTTCCTTTACAAACAGTCTTCCAATTGGAGTTATTCAACAAAATTTTCTTTATAATTCCTGATTTTTCAGTTACTCTATAAAAAAGTTATCTTTTCCCCTTAAACTTAGTTCAGAGTTTTCAAATTCACTTAGTCTTTAAGTTTTCCTTATTTCAAATACCATGTAAATGCTGAAATAATCATAAATATGGGGGAGATAGCTCACCTAATAAGGTTGCAGTCCATGTGGAATAATAAAACCTACTTGAAAACAACAAAGTTTTTAATTTTTTTTTTAGGAAGAAATTAAAACTATACATTGGAACAAGTTGCCACACTACAAAAGCAAGTCTTTCCTTCCCCCCATTAGTCAGGAAATATAAACAAAAATATTTGAGTATAAAAGTGATTTCTGTGCCTTTTTATTCACTTTTTCAGCACCTCAATGTTCTTAGGTGTACTTTATGCTTGGTACAGCAGAAATTCTGTATGCTCAGATAGCTGTTTGGAGGATTTCATATTTTTCACTACCAAATATCACTGGTGAAGCTAAGTTCTTTGGATGATAAAGGTAGCAGGGAATTGTTTCTAGGAAATTCCTGGGTGTCTTTCAGAGTGTTATTAAGGGGTAACTGTCCATTGAGTAGTGTCAGCGGCAAGTTACAGTAAGTATGATGGTTGTCTAAGGAAGGTACTGGCAAGGTGGTGGTTGGCATCTCATGTTTATAGCCTCTGCAACAGTGCCTCATTTGCATTGCATCTGAATGATGGAAATCAGGGAGATCAGCTTGAGATGATGCCAGAGTGGCAGACGTACTGGTCATGGCAATTGAGGGTATAGGCTGGAGTTCTCTGAAAAGTCCTTGTTCTGCAGAGTCCAGAACATGGCATCGAGAAAGCATTTCTTTTTTCTTGATAGGCATTTCATATATTAAATGCTTCCAAAACTTAGAATTTAATTTGCTGCTTTTGGGTCCCTTCCACTTGATCAGGGACAGAAGTTTGATGCTTCGCTTTAGGGATTCCACTTCCTGGCAATTCACCTTTCCTTTCAACTCTGTACACTCAATCAAAATCACTTTGATTTCTCCACTGACTAGCATGTTATGGAGTCTGCTTTCCAGTTCGAAAATACTCCATCCCCGTCTGAGAATATAGTCTGGAGTTAGCACGATAATAAGTCTTCTGCTTTGCTCAACACATCTTGTGAGATCTTCAATGTATGCTACAAATCACAGAAAGAGAGAAAGAGTAAAACAAAGACATTGCCAGTCTTTAAAGCACCAGGTTTTCACTCTAGTATAGCACAGATCCAGTCTGTCACTAAAGTCCATCACATTTTCTTTTCTTGTATTGCACATTCCAAAACCCCTTTCCTTAAAAAATTAAGAAAAATTAAAAAAATACTGCATACATTCTTATTTTCTTTTGCCTTATCGTTACTTACAGTGTTCTGATAGCCAATACAAGCTCTGGCTTCTTCAGAGCTTAGGTATATTTCAGTGATTTTTATTTATTTAATCACTTAATTCAAAGCAGGCTTCCAGGCTAGTACTCTAAGTGAGCAAGCAATGAACAGGTCAATAAAAATAGATTTGGAACCTTCTAATAAATGCAGGGTTACTGTATGTTTGTAGCTGTTTTTCTTCCTGTTTTCCCCTTGTAAATTAATATTATTTTTAATTGACAAATAATAATGGCATACATGACGCCTAGTTTTCATCTTCCTAACAAGTACTGGCACTATGTTTATCAAGTATTTGAGAGGTAATTCTGATATAGAGATGATGAAAAAATCCTTTCTAGAATCAGCTTGTTTCTCAGAATATCTTCTGTCATTTGCAAACTTAGGTTTCCCTATTTTGTCCTTCAAACCCAGAGACAGGGAAGTGGTGTGTGCTTAATTTGAACCAGCTGTTTTTTGTTCCAAAGAGGAGTGAAGGGTAAACTTGGAGATGGGAGATGGAGTGGAATGAATGGTGAAAGAGGAGAAACAATCAACTGAGAAGTAAGTTTTGCCCTGTTTTGTGGAGCAATTCTGAAAGTGAGGTGAATGTGTTATGGCTTTTTTCATGGTAGTAAAACACAATAACTCTAGATTTGTTTATCCCAAGGAATAATCCTTTTGTAATCATGTTTCCCAAAGTATTATCTGCCAAAAAGGGAAACGCACACATGTGTTAACAAATGGAGACTTGGACACAGGTGCTGCACCAGAACACTGTCTTTACTAAGCAGAGCACAAGGCCTTGTCTAATGTACAGTGCCCTCTAGCAGAAGCAGTGCTTACAGAAGCATAGCAACATTTGTCGCTGCAAATTTGTCCAAGGTTACAGACTACTTTCACATTCAGCACATAGTGTGGGGACACCAAACAGCCCAGTACAAGCCATTTGAAAGAGACACTTATTTTACAGATGCATGTTTCACAGATGATCTTTCTTTTCCAGGGTTTTATTTCCACCACTTGGCAGCAAGAAAACTTTCACAAGTGAAAATGAGCAAATTTTCTACACACCCTACAGATAAACAAAAAAAAAAGTTTTTTAAAGAGATACACATAAAATTGCCTATTTAACAATTTGTTGTTAGGGATGTTTAGGTTTTGACTTAATACATTTCAGGACTTTCTCATGCAGTAGATACAATGACTGTATCTGAGGGGATAAGGCAGTTGTTAGGTTGGGATGGAACCTCTTAAATATTATAAGAGTTTTATTTTAGGGATTACGTATTTTGGGGAAAATCAGCAATGGAATCTGTAAAAACAAAACAATACAAAACAAAAATAACCACACAAGTAGCAATGGGGAAGTTTATCACTGAGTAATTATCACTTAGAGAACTGGTGAAACAGAATGGAAGGAAAGGTAGAGAGTTTCAATAGAGTGGAAAAATATTATCCCACTGTATCAACAGCTCTGACTCTTCATTTTCTTCCTTTCTTTCTGCTCCCAAAAAGAAAGAAGTTATGTGGGAAGCTTCATCATTAGAAGTTGGATCTGTAAGATATAGTAAAATAAACTATCATGCATCTTTCCCATTATTCTTTTCACCTTTCCTCCAAAACAAAACAAAACAAATTCCAAAACTAGAATGATGGTATCAGTGCAGTATTCCAAGAGGCTACAATTTTCCCAGGTGAATTATGACTTAATTGTTAATTTTATAGAAATATTCTTTACAAAATATTTTCCCAAGGGGTAACTTTGACTAGTACTCTTTCTCATTACTTTTAGCATGTAATTTAAATTAAAATATTGTTCTGTACAAACCTTGTCAGGAGTCACATCAAATACACCTCTAGGAACAACATTATTTCTGTGTTCAAATATAATATAAATGTACTTTTTGACTATATGTTTAAAAACAAAAGCTAGCTGTGTACATGTCTCCATTAAAAAAAAATTACAACCCAGGTATCTGCAGTCATAAGGGAAATTATACCTATATGTACTAATGAATTTGACTGTGATATCATGCGCTTTGGTTTTGCTAGATTCTTTTTTTTTTTTTTTGGCATGGGGAAGGGAAAAGTGTAATATATATTTTACCATGTGTACAGTTCTCCTGCTTCAGTTTTTTTTTTTTGAACCAGAGATTGAGCTCAGGGTTTCTTTTTTTTTTTTTTTAAGAGAGAGAGAGAGAGGAGAGAGAGAGAGAGAGAGAGAGAGAGAGAGAGAATTTTTAATATTTATTTTTAGTTCTCGGCGGACACAACATCTTTGTTGGTATGTGGTGCGGAGGATCGAACCCGGGCTGCACGCATGCCAGGCGAGCGCGCTACCGCTTGAGCCACATCCCCAGCCCGAGCTCAGGGTTCCTTAACCACTGAGCCACATTCCCAGTCCTTTTTTATATTTTATTTAGAGACAGGGTTTGCTGAGTTTCTTAGGGCCTCACTAAGTTGCTGAGGCTGGCTTTGAACTTGTGATCCTCCTGCCTCAGCCTCCTGAGTCACTGGGATTTCAGGCATGCGCCACCACGCCTGGCTCAGAATCTATTCTGACAGTTGACAGGTTAAGTAAAATGCAACATTTAGGGTTCTTAGGGCTTCTTACAGACTCATTAGAAATAATCTGCATTTGCCCCCAGAAAGAATGCCTGTCAGGACAGATCCCACTAAGCTCAGCTGTACAGGGTGTGGTGTTGAAGGGAACCTTGGAGAGAGGGAGTGGTCCTGTCTCCTGCATACTACACTGGCTGTGCTTATCCTGGCAAAGCCTAGTGGAGAATTGAGGCAACCATCCAGATAACTTCGGCTGAAAACCTGCTGTGGAAGAAAAAAGTTCTGAATTATCCTGGTTTGCCCTATATATACATTAATCATATGCACTGGAGTCAGTCAGTCAGTACATCAAAATTTTCCCCGGGTAGACACAGCACAAGTGTCCCAAAGAAAACACAAGCCATTTGCTTGGGCCCTGAATCTCGTGTTCCATTTCACTTGGTGAAAAACCAAGTGGAAGTTTTCAGATGTGGAGCCCACATTTCACTTCTTGGGATGGTGATCAGTGGCTGGGCAGCAACCTCAGTGTTTGAAAGCAGCTGGGGAGGTGCCTCAAAGAGCTGCCTGGCTCTAAGGAAAAGAAGGAGAGACTGTGCCTTTACTTCCATAATCTGGCTCACTCTCTGTTTTTCTCTTTTTCTTCCCCTTTTCCTCTCCCTACCTCTTTCTTTCTGCCTTTCCTTTTTCTCTCATCCTTTCCTGTCTTTTACTTTTATCTCCCTCTTTGCTTTCTTTTTGCCTCTCTCTTCTATATTTCTCTCCCTCCTTCCTCCTCGCTTCTTATGGCTTTCTTCATCTATCTTTTAATTTTGGCAAAAACAAGATCACAGCTATCCTGAAAATATATGTAAATAACAGTAAGACGAAACAGCATAGTTCACCTTTTTCACTTGCTTATCTTTAGCCTTGGAGTCGTTCCTGGTGTGTATAATTAAATGCCCAAGATAATCCCCAATACCTTAGGGCTACATGTTTGCATTTAATGACTGTGACTTGGAGCTTGATCTATTAAGGACTGTGTCCTATTTTCATATGACACATGAACTATGAACAATATTTTACCTATTTAACAAGTGTTCAAAAAGATAATGATGATGATGAATAAGAATATCATGCAATTGAGACCACATGTGACCCACAAACCCTTAAATATTTATTATCTAGACCTTTACAGAGAAGGTTTGTCACCCCTGAATTAGAGACCAAGCAGAGTGGTTAGGTTTGGAAAAGTTCCAAACAAACAAAGCAGAAACAGGTATCAAGTTAAGACATTGCTGGTCCATAGAGTAGTCTCAGACAGGCTGTGGGTTTTTCCCTGGTAGGGCTGTGGTTTTGTGGGAGACATTTTAGAAACCTTCAGAAAATGTTCAAAAAGCTTGTTACCACAAAGAGATAATAAAGAAACGTTCTTTTGAAAAAAAAAATCCCTAAATCCACAGCACATATGAAAATCTTGCCCTGACTTGTTCAGGCAAATTTAGCTACTGAATGGCAAGGATCCCTTTAAAAGACTCCTTTTTCCACATAGAAATGTAAACTATCCCTTAAATAAAAGGTCACCGAGTCATTTCTTTGCAAATTTTGGGTTGAAATAACTTTTGATGACAGAATAGACCAAAGAAGTCTGTGTCTGATAGTCTTTGGTTTCTCTAGTCAAGTCTGTGAAACCACTGAAGATTTTCAGACATGACAATTTAATTAGATAAATAAAATATCCCCTTTAATATAGTGTTGTTGGGGTGATTAATTTGGTATAAATTAAATCTTCACATTGTAAGTGCAAATACAAAGAAACTTTTACTTCTGTCTGTGCTGAAATTGACAGATTTGGGAAAATATTCTTGAAGAAAATACATTTTCAAGAGGCCATATTAGGGATGTGGACTTATTAGGGAAATGAAGAGAAATCATGCCAGTAGCAACAGTACTGATGGGAAATAAGGAAACTGGCTACCTAAAGCCTTATTAAAATCAAAGCAAATTTGATTTTACAATCTCTTTCAGGAGCAGTTGTATATTTGTGAATTTCTATGGAGTCTAGCTGCTGCCTATTGACCACATGATCTCTCAAATTAATAAATTAGTTTCTTATAAATTATTTGTGGGTTAACACTTCCACTTATATCAGGGCTATTTAGTATCAAGAGTGTATAGCATACTTTCTATAAATAAGTTAAAAGATGAATATTTAGTCTCTAGACAAAGGCATAATATAT